ACAATCATAACAATTCCTTCAACTTGTTAAGACAACTGAGCAGATAAGATATAGTTGTGGGGGAGGGGAGAGAGGAAGTGGGAAAAGAGGAATGGGTAAAGGGACATGAAATCTACTACAATGTATATTGAGAAGTTAAAATAAAATAAAAATGAAGATACAATAGAAGGGAAAATTCCTTATTTTCAACAATAGTTTTTCCTTTTATAGCTTCTGGGTTTCATGTCATAGAAAAGATAAAATGTCTGAAAGAAAATGTGTGAGATCATTATGAAAAAGACTTTAAAATGCTACAGAGGGACACAAAAGAAGACATGAACAAAAGAAAAAACATTCCATGTCCTTAGATAAGATGACTCAACATCATAAGGATGTCATTCTCCCTAAATTAATCTACAATTTTAATACTAGTCTAATAAAGATGTCAGCATCATTTCATCAGAATAATCAAGCTGAGTAAAAAGTTCATGTGGAAAAATGAACAATAAAAGTACCTAAACGAAGATAATTGGGGGGAACCAGTCTCTAAGTATTAGCACATCACAGAGATTCAGTAATTAAAATAGTGTTGTGAAGGTTAATTCTAGGTATTAGTTCGATGAAGGAATGCTGAGAAACCTGGTAAAGCAATCTATTTAGGTGTGTCCATGAGAGTGTTTCCAGCAGAGATTAGTATGAGAGTCTGAGTGGCCTGGGTGGGAAAGACCCACCCTCAGTGTGGGTGTGAACCATCCAATCTGTTGGCGGTTCGGAGAGAACAAAAGACAAAGGAAAGAGGTGAAGCTCTTTCTCAATCTCCTGGAGTTGAGATACACTCTTCTCTCCTGTCCATGGACATCAGACCTCAAGATTCTTCAGCTTTTGGGTTCTAGGACTTACACCAAGAACACACCATCAGCTTCCCTGGTTTTAAGGCCTTTCGACTTGGATTGAGCCATGCTACTGGCATCCAGTTTATAGACGGCCTATCGTGGAACTTTTCTTCACAGTCACATGAGCTAATTTCCCTAATAAATCCCTCTCATATAATTATAATGTATCCTATTGATTCTGTCTCTCTAGAAAACCCTGACTAATACAAGTGTGATACTACACAGATTACAAAACCCACTCGTAAATACAAGATTTTTCCCTTCAAAGGAGACAATGTTGTATGATAGATAAAGCAGAGAATTAATAAAACATAAGATGAACCATGAAAAAAACATAGTGTGATACTAGCATATGAACAAATATACAGATCATGGCACAGAATATGAAGTCCAGGAATGGACATAAATATATATGGCATTTGAGAAAGAGTGGCATTTCAAACAGGTGAGGAAAAGGTGGATTATTTAATAAATCATGTTGAGACAACTGCGTAGCCTCTGAGGAAAAAAGAAAATCTGACTCCATTCCTGAAACCTAATAACAGGATAATTTCTAAATGTTTAAAGTTTTAAGTGTTAAGAAAAAAAGGATAAAGTACCAGGAGAAGCCATAGAAGGTGGAAGGCCTTTCTAATTATGATGTGAAAACCATACACATGTTTTTAAAATGTGCATAATAAAAAGTAAAGCAAGAAAAGTCAAAAGAAAAATACGTAAACATATATCACAGACAAAAGGTTAACCCCTCTAAAGTATAGCATTCCTAGAAGTCAGAGATGAAGAGACAATCTAATAGAAAAATGTGCAAAATATATTCACAGTTCACGGAAAAGAAATATAAATTTTCTTTAAACATACGTTAAGAAGCTCACTCATAATAAGAAAAGACAGATTAAACCATTTTCATCTATTAGAATGGCAGAGATCAAAGTTCAATAATTCGCTGTTTGGGAAAACGGCGGGGAAACAGGTGTTCTCATACTTGTTAATGAGAGTATAAATGGTACAACTTCTAAGAAGGGCAATTTGGTAAAGTCCATCACGTTTAAAAATACCATGTCATTTTAGAAATGTATTCTAAGATATACTCATATATTTGTAATTTGATGTATGCATGAAGTTATTTATTGTGGGGCTATCTGTAACAGCAAAAGGATGAAAGCAGCCTAAATGTCCATTTAATGTTCACCTATATGACTTAAATTTAGTAAATATAGCAAATATTTACTGTATTTAAATATAGTAAAGTACTTGTATGCCAGTTAAATATAGTAAAGTACTTGTATGCCAGTTAAATATAGTAAAGTACTTGTATGCCAGTTAAATATAGTAAAGTACTTGTATGTCCATAAAATGGTACATTACAGAGCCATACAAAAGAATGAAGAAGTTTCTTACATACTGACTATATGCAACGATATCTAAAGTCATTGGAGGAAAGAATACATACATACATGCAAACACGTCTGAAAAGACACAAAAGCTGGCACCAATGGTTGTTAAAAAGGGGGAACTGAGTGTCTTGGGGACAGGAGTATGAAGGACACTTTTAGTACATGCCTTTTATACCTTTTGCACTTTTTATATTTATAAATAAATACAAAAGGTCACAAGTGTGAGTCAAAAGTGCCAAAATGAACTATAGAGATAGTACGTAGAAAAAGAAATAAATACAACAGAGAAGAAAATGAAGTAAAGTTAGCTTTAAACCTTCTCCTCATATTTCCTTCCTGCAAAATACACAATCTTCCTTCAATTACAGTTTTGCTTACTTTTATCAGCCTCTACCCTTATCCTCAGACCCTTCTGTTTTACCTCAGGAGGTCTCTTAACACTTCCAATAATTTTTCAATCAAAGTTATGTTAGTCCATCTCAATTTCAACATTCACTATGTGCAGTTTTAGGACATGGGTTCTATAGAAGCCACTGTTGAATTTTGGAGGGATATCACAATAAAATATCAAAAAGGCTTGAAATCATTTATTTGAGGTAATCATAAGAGACAAAAAATATCTTTGGGAAAGTACTTTAAAGAAATAGATGCTAAAATAAAATCTTGCCTATTATTTGGAAATTGTGTTATGGGCTATTTTAATAGTGTTTGAAGAATTAAAGATGTCCTCTCATGACATTCTTAACTATGGAAAGCACACTACAGAAGGTAAGCTTTTAGATAAAATATGAATCAATATAGTCACATGTCAAATAACCATAGTATCCATGGAGACGCACAAGCCCCTATATTGTCATGTGAGAAAATACTTAAATTTCTATTATTTTACCTTACTTTTTAATGTCTTAACTTTTTTAAATATATAAGGTAGTATATTAATATATAATTTATAAATAATAAATAAACATGGATAAATGCTAGTGTGTGCTCAGGTTGTTTTTGTTTTTGTTATCTATAGGAGTGCATAATCAAAATGTTTGGTAACCACTGCCAAATGATGACTTTTCTCCCTGATGCATTATAGAAAGTTATACCAGAGAAGCAATAGGTACAAAGTACTAATTTCTAAGTGAAATACTATTGAGTTCACTGAAAATGGCACTTAGTACAATTCTATCTGAAGAGAGATTCATAATAAGTAATAGGACTTTCAAGTCAGGAAACAACGTTAGAGACCAACTAGTCCAAATCTCATTTTTGACATAAGGTAACTAAGGACAGAGAGGATAAACAATATTTTCTATATCACATGGCTGGCTCATAGTGATAGAGCCAGGCAGAGAACCCAAATTTCCCAAAACTTTCTCTTTCTACTATACAACACCTGGAGATATATAGATTAGATAGATAGATGGATGGATGGATGGATGGATGGATATCCATATATAGAGATAGAAAGAGACATATATGAATAGAGAGATGTGTGTGTGTGTGTGTGTGTGTATATATAACTTTATCTCCTTCTCTCTCTATACGTGGGTATATCTCTCTCTCAAAATAAAGAGGGTCTTTGAAATTAAGCAGAAGGCCAACCAAGTATTTTCACTCCTTTATTTTCTCCCATTTATTCCTATCTTTATTTTTGCCTTTTTAAACAAATCACATCCATTTTAAGAAAGTAGAATAGTAGATTTCTTTTTATCTTGTTAATTTTTAAAGCCAATCTAAAGGAGAAAAGTTTAAACCTGAAATTCTTCTAACAGAAACCACTTCTGTACTCTAAATGCCACTCTTTCTTACCAGTAATCCTCTGAGAACAATCCAGCACAAGGAATATATACTCAGGTATACCCAAAAAAAATGAAATGTGAAGTGAGCTGGGAGTGGATGATATATAAACTGAACTGCAAAGAGGCAATCAAAATTAAACGGTTATTCTTAAAGGATGCTAAGAATGTAAATCTGCAAAAACAGATCCTATGTTAACTCCTCACATCCATTAGCCTAATTTTGAATAGAATTTTCTCCATGACTCTAAAGAAAAAAACAGTACCATAAATATGACAAAATAGAGATCATGTCTTCCAGAAAGAAGCTAAAGGGACATAGAAAATATTTATCCAGGTAATTCAAACCAATTTTTAACGTCTCAATCACATTTGTGTAGTCCCTTCACAATAAGAGATTTGACTTTCTATCCACAGATACTGCTTCCAACTATGGCCAGTTCTGTTATATATTGGGAAAAACTGTATCTGCCGCATTGAGTTGGGAAGATTAAACGGTATAACGCAGATAATAGTTTAGCAAAGTATCTAGCATATAGTTAAACACTCGTAAAACCTAATTCTTTCATTCACATGCCTCCAGTCAGGTTCAGTGATATGCCAAGATCTCAAGAGTTTGTGCTAGGTAGGAAATTTAGAGGACCAGACTTCCCCTCCAAGGAGACTGAAAATTGAGCTATTTAGAGACATGGCTAAATCAGAATTTCTAACGGAGTGGGAGGAGTGGCGGAATTGGCCTCTTTGCAAGGGCAAGCTTGTTGCTACGTAAATCCACCACGGTAGTCCCGCCTCCATCTTCCCACCACCCCCAGAGGCAGGCGGGAACTACATTTCCCAGCGGCCCTCAGGCTTCTTCCGGCGCAGCGCGCCAGCGCTCTGCTTTCCGGCCGCATCTTTTGCGTCAGATTGAGCCAAAGTTTCCTGCCGCTGAGGCCGAGTTGCGGAATATGGGTTCTTCTTTGTCTCGGCCTCTTGAGCCAGTCAAGGTCGTTGCGCTTCCCGAAGCCGCTACCCCCGCCAAGCCCGCGCCCCCAGCTGTACCCGGAGCGCCCACCACTCCAGCGGATGCCCCCCTATTTAATAATTGCTGGAGCTGTCGCGTGCTCTCCGGGTCGGGGCTTATAGGGGCTGGCGGGTACGTGTACTGGGTGGCGCGGAAGCCCCTGAAGCTGGGATACTCCCCGACTCCGGGGATCATTACGCAGATGGTCATCGGCATCAGTGAGAGCCCGGGCAGAGCCACTTGGGCGGGAACGGAGGGGGAGAGGAGGGAGCAGCCACGTGGGTGGGTGACATGACAGGTCGTTCGGGTAGGTCACGTTGTGGGGTACTTCAAGCAAGGTGCAGGGAGAGGAAGTTGTTGGAAAGCTTTTTAAAAATTTGAATCTCAGTACTTCTCGAAAACTGTTATTAGGCTCAGTCTTTTTAATCCTCACGGTAGCTGGTAGAGGCAGGTGTGACTATAGTGTTCCAGTTTTACTGCTGAGCAAACTAAGGTCAGACAATCGGGAAGTGATAGCTGGTTTTCGAGCCCAAGTTTGCCTGACCCCAAAGCCCGTGCTCTTTCTCCAGATATTGGAGAAGGCCTGAGCGAAGGCACTTAACGTTGACTTAAGAAATTGGTCCTTGAAGCCAAATCTTAGACGTGGGTTCAAAGCCCACCTATTTGGTGTACCGTTGGGTGATGTGGTCCAAGTCCTGATCTGTAGCAATACTAAATGATTATCAAGGTGCTTTTCAGTAAAATGAGATTCTTTTAGTTTTTCAAACCAATTGAGTGAATAGAAGTTTAGGTTTTCAGATTCTTTATCTTAACCAGGTTGTCTAGATCAATTCCCTTTGCCTTTTTTTTTTTCCCTTCTCTCTGAACTTTTTCTTTTATTTTCTGAACTTCACTCTTCTATAAGAAAGATATGATGGTAATGTATCCTCCAGAAGTGTTGTGAAGGTTAAATAAGGTGCTAGGCAGGAAATTTAGAGGCCCAGACGTCTCTAAGGAGACTGAAAATTGAGCTAAGATGTTGTTTTTTTCCTAGGTATTGCCTGCTGGGGTATAGTCATCCTCACAGACCCCAAAGGGAAGTCCTACCGCACAGTTTGAAAGCACCATCAGTGAATTTGTCATCTATCCCTGTCCCCATGACACACAGAGCAAGCATGGGGTTTGTGGATGTTTTGGACAGACACTTGGACATGGACAGACTTCAGTACTGCAAATACTACAAGACTTGGAAGACAAATATGGGTTGTCATTCTTTGGTTGTGAGTGTTCTTGGCCTTCTCAGATTCCATTGGGATCAATAAATCAGAGAATAAAATAGGTTCTGTGTCTTATCTGGGGAAGGAGAGTATAATTTAAATTATATTGTGATGTGATATAATTTATAAACATGTGTAATTATATATTATATACATAGTTATATATTATAAACATAAATATAATGCTTAATAATATGTTTATTATATAATTGTATGATTTATATTATTTAAAATTTTAAAACAGTTTTTTAAATGAAGGAAATGATAAACCAATTGGAAAATGAGTTATTTTATTATTTTTAATAGTTCTTTTTATTTCTCCTATAATTGGGTCAACACCTATTTTCAACCTAACCCTGGATAGGCACCATGCAATATAGAAGTACACAAAACTTTGTGTACTGCTCATACTTTCCAAGGCATTTTTAATCCATCACCTTATCAGAGCTTCACAGGTAGTGTGAGGTGGTAATTGCATTGGCCATAAACCTTAAGCCATAATAGCCCAAGTGGTCTGCCCTGGGTCATTCTGCAAGTCAGTGATGTACCTAGGACTTGGCCTTGTCTTCTTGTTGTAGTCTTTCAGAACTAGGATGGTTCTAATGAGGCAAGAACTACATTTATAAACAATTAGGTAATAAAAAATCTGCATACAATGAAAGATGTTAAGTGCCAAACTATCTGAGAGAAATTCAAAGCATTTAGTAAAAACAAAGAAAAGCTTTTTGATTCTTTTTCCACAGGCACCAGAAATGTTTCTTTGATGAAATTGAGATGCTTTTGAGATAAGGACTCCGAATTAGTTCATTTCTGAGAGAGGTCCTGCTTGCTACCAGTGTTTGTTTGTTTGTTTGTTTGTTTTCTGAGATACTGTGGCTTCTCTGTGAAGGTATGTGTAGCTGTTTTTCAAAGCAGAAAGATACTTTTAAGTTCACTGTCAATCACAGTGTTTAAGTTTTGAATGACATGTTGAGCAAGTAGTAATTTTAAGGCTATTTCTTTTTGTATTCTGTAGACATGCCTAAGTCTATTAAGCCTCACAGATGACTTTAAGACTTGTATTGTGTACATCAGGGTTCATAGTATGGTTGATGTTATAGATATCTATGCAATTGAGAAGACATTTCAAATAACCTAAAGTAGGCAACAAGGTAGTATTTATGTGAAATGTGCAATTCAGTTATGTGATGTTAAGAAATATAGAAGTTGTAAGTTGGAAGGTACCATAGAGGACCCAAAGCAAGTCACATATGGTCATTCATCCCCAAAAATACCAGTGAAGACAAGTTGCTCCCTGATTTAAAGACAACCATTCTGTTGATGGATAGCTGTAGTCTGAACATTTCGTTAAGTTAAGCCAAAAACACATAAACCCAACTGAAAGAAAGTAAGCCAAGATGCTGGGTACTGTTCAAGCTTTATTAAAGGAAAAGAATCTGCCGGGCTGCGCTCAAAGTGGGGAACAGCCCGGGGCTGCCCTGAAAATGGGGAACAGCACCAGGTGTGGGGTTGGTAGAGCTTATATGGTGCACCAAGGGCTGGCTGATACCATCAAGGAGGGTCATTATGCTAATGTGGATCGGCAGGACAACTGCATCCTTGCAGAAGCAAAAGGGGTTTCTGTTTAAGTCAGGAGGCTTCTTGTAAAGGGAAGAGGGGAGGGGAGGAGGTGGGCGGCACCATTTTGTACTTGGCCTTGTCTAAAGTGGTGCTGGTTATGTTGTAGATCTATTACCAACTTACTGGCCTTTGCTTTACCTCGTGGATAAACAGAATAACTCTTAAAATTATATATTGCAATATTTTTTTAACATTTTTCTTAGAATTTTATAAATATGAATCTGTAAGCAAATAAGCTTTTTCTAAGTAAACTTTCCTGCTTACCAGAGATATTGCCAAAGTATGTTTGGTTCTTCCTGATTTGGACCTGTTTAACTGGTTGTGAGCAAAGAATTATTCTACCATGTCTGCCGGCAGTTAAGTAGGAATAAGTAAAAGAAAAAGGGTCAGAACATGTAGTTAAAAGTTTTTTATTTTTCTTTTGAATTATACTCCATAATTTGATTTCTGCAGTGCTAAACCAGAAATCCTGGTTTGTTTTAAGAATAAGTCTGATCTTCACAGAGAGGTTTCAGGGAGAAAAGAGACATCACCTTAGTCCTGTAGTGCAGAAAGTGCACTTTGTGTCCCCATTATCTTCCCTTTTGTTGAAGGTCAGGTGGGGTGAGCAGGATAAACAGGCTCAAGAATCAATGGATTATTATTCAGAATGTAAGAACTTTAGTTATGATTAATGGACTTTCCAGTCCCTTTATACCATGGAAATGAGAGTTTACAAAGGCTCATAATTACCTTTAGTAAGGAAGGAGAGAAGAGAAAATGTATAGAAATTAGTAATTTAAAGTGCACTTACCATTCCTTGGGACCAAGACCAAAATATAAACATATACGTAAACACTGACATTTTTTATCACTGTCTGAAATATGTATTAACTCAAAGTAGGTATAAACTTTGGTATCTCCAGATGATGAAGAAATCATTACCATCTTTTGTTCCTACGATGTATAGCATTGACTAGTCTGGAGTTGTGTGACCAGCTAGCAATATGTGTGAACATATTAAAGGGCCTAACTATAGATTGACCCTCAAGGATCTTGTGAAGTAGGGGTGAGGGTTCTCTGTTTTCCTAGGACAATTGCTGAGACAGCTGTTGCTAGCAGCCCTGGAGTATACCAAATGCAGATCAATCTGAAAGAGTTCTGGAGTTTCACCTGGCTGAGCTGGTTGCAGAGACTGCTATTTCTGGTGGCCCTGGAGTTAAGCATCTCAACCATGGTTTGTACTTCACATCCACCCTCAGGATAGCATTTGTTCCTTGCTCCTTTTTATTACTGGTTTCTCAGCCTGGTTTTATCTGATGGAGGGGCCTCTTGAATGAAGCCAGTTGGTTTGGCAACAAAAATATATTGCTCTTAAATATATATTCAGGACAAGCATATATGTTTAAATACTCCCTCAAACCAGGCTTGGCCTCAACTGATTTACTGCCAGTATTACATTGATCAAACCAGCACTTCTCAAATCTTGAAGAAAGGAATAGTAAGCATTTTGAGTTGAACAGGTAATTTTTTTTTATTTTGAATGACAACTAAATCCTTGCCCTTGACCGAGTGATTATATAAGTGTTAGGGGCACAGAGTCAGACCCATAATTACACTTCATTAAGAGGTATCCTAAGAACATGGGGCAAAAATACATCACTTTTCTGAAATGCATGTCTCTTGGCCTTTGAAATATTCAGCAACTTGTCATTCACATATAAGCGGAGTGCAGAGAAATGGCCAAAGGGGCAAATGTTAAATGCATCAGTGCCGCTAACAATCACTGCTCAGTCCTGTGACTGAACTTGCATGTACTTCAGGAATGTGGTAGACAGGATCTTAAGATGGTCCCCAAGGTTCCCAGCCCTGTGGTGTACACACACTTAATTAAGCATCATTCCGGCTGCCGCTGTGAAAGGATTTTGCCGATGTAAGTAAGGTGCCAGATCAGTTGACCTTAAAATAGGGAGATTACCCAAATGGCCTAATCATATGAGCTCGTTAAGTCTTGATATGGAGGTCAGAGACAGGAGATGTCAAAGATGAGAAGCATGAAGGAGATTGAGTGCTGTAGAAGTCATTTACCGGCCTGAAAGAAGGCAAACATCCATGTTGTGAACTGCCTGTGGGGGCAAGAAACTGCAGGCAGCCTAAAGTTGCTGAGAGTAGTCCCCAGCTGACAGCTAGAAGGGAAATGAAGACCTCAGTCCCCCAACTGCAAGGAAATGGATTTCTTCAAACAACCTCTGAACTTGGAAGAGAACCCTGTGAGAGTCAAGAAGCACAGCCCCGGCCAACAGCCTGGTTTCAGCCTAGAGAGACCCTAAGCGAAGTCGTGCTGTGAAACTGAGATAATAAATTTGTTCCATTCGATAACTTCCATGTACCTCATGGTTCTCAAGTTTTGGTCCCTGGACCAGAAGCATCAGCATCACCCAAGAACTCATTAGAAATGCAAATTCTCAGTCCCTTGTCAGATTTGTTACAGTGTGGAGGGCACCAACCTGTATTTTAACAGTCCAGCCAGGCTTATCACTTAAGTTTGAGGAACCTCAGGTGTAAGTGAACCTGACTGGCCTTTGTATAGTAGATCTCAACTATAACGTAGTGGAAACAACATCTTAAAGTCATCAGACCCAGGTTCTGCTACCTGTTCCTAATAGCTCTTGGGAAAGTCACTTAACATCTTAGAACATAAATTTTATCCTCTGTAATGTCAAGATCAGACTAGGCAATTTCTAAATACTTTTTCAGCACTACTAAGATTCTCTCTTCCCATAATCTTTGTTTAAAAAAGATGTACTCTGATTCCAAAGGATAGAGATAGCAACGAGGAACTGAGAAAACTGGGCACTCTGCAGTAATCATGCGAAGCTGCTGCAGGAGATCAGACCATTGCTCATCAAGTCCACCCCCTGGCATCTCGCAGCTGCAAATGCCTGATGCTACACAGGAATCTAGCGACCTCTAACCCCAATTAGTGCACCTGGCCAGCCTGACAATTCTACAGGGGAGGGAAGAGGTCCTTCCTGACCTTCTCATGAGGAGATCATGCCCTGAAGCATGAAATGTGATTACCCTCTTCTGGCCTGCGTAAGTGCACAGGCATTCATTCAAAAGAAATATGGAAAGTTGAAGGAAAGGTTGGGATCAGTGGTGGTGGTGATGGTGTGTGTATGTTCTTGTGTGCTCCCTTTCTATTTCCAAAGAACCCAAATAGGAAAATCCTTCAGTTTTCACCACGCATAATACTGATTTAGTGATGTGAATTACACACTTTATGTTATGCAGGCTGTGTCTAGAATAACAACAAACCTCAGGGAAAGAAAAGATGCTATCAGTGAATGAGCAAAGCACACCAGTAAAACTGCACATTCTGGCCTGTGCTTGGAGGTATTTGATGATATATATTTTTCACCTATGCACCTGTATGTGAAGCTGAGTGGACACAATAAAGCCCACAGGAAACTTGATCACTA